GATGGAAGGAGAAACGGAACCCAAGACCTCGAAGGAGGTCAAAATGAAGTAGTTAGCCGAGAAGGTCGAAACCAGCAAGCTGCTGGAATATCAGGTGGAAAAGATAGAGGAGCTCAAGAAGAAGCTGGACAGGACGAGGTAGAGCAATGACAATTTGATGCAGGAGTCGCAAGGAGAGAGAAATATGAGAAAGGCTCTCCAGAACGACTGGAGAAAAGAAGAGAGGGAAGCAAGGAAAACTCTGGCCAGGGTGGTCAGGGTGAACGTGGGAGTGAATAGGTACTATCCGCTACCCGAAGGAAGATGATGGGGAATAGAAGGCTGGGGCCCGATGGGACTCAGGCTGAGGGAGAGGGGAGCTAATGTCACGAACTGTGACTAAGCAAGGTAGATTTCACATAGTTCGGATTTCCGAGTTATAGGTATGTTGGGATTTCACATGATGTACACTAGTGCACCATAGGTTATTATATTTACCTGTTCGTGAGTCACAGTTGTGAGTCACACGATGTTATGATTTTCGCACATGACTCATACTTATGACTCATGGGTTTCACTCAGGTGACGCGAGTTGCGCACCTGACTTGGTTATTATGTTTTGATTGGTTTAGGCATGTTGCGCAGCGACTCATAGGAGTCGTCTGATGGATTTCATATGACTCATGGTCATGAGTCACAGGGTTCGCGTGACGCGAGAGGTGAGTCATGCCAGGTGAAGAGCGACTATATAAAGGGTCACTAGGACCCTGAGTATGAGCTCTTCACACGTTCTTTTTGTTTATTTCCTACCTTTAAGTTATTATCAATAAAACCTACCTTTACGCTCTTTAAGATTTATCTTAAGAAACCCGAGAATTGTCTTTCCTCTCAAGCGAGAAAACTATTTCTCCTCCCACATCAAACAACTAAGTCCTAAATCAAGGACTAAGAAGAATCAGAAGATAGGCGCAAATACGATAGTAGTCAAAGGACTGGGCTATCGGGATCACGTAGGCACAGGCCTGAGAGCTATCACCCTACAGAGAAGTATCGTTACCTGTCCCTAGGTCCTACTCGGTAGGATTCTTAACACATCCCTTGCCCAATGTTGTAATCAACCAGTTATGTAGATTGTCCTCTTCAGACCATGACATTTAAACAGTTTGGCCTTTGAAAATCACAAGAGGGTGAATATGCTTGCTGGTAGCACTGATTGTTTCAATAATCGATACCCATTTGTGACTTGTCAGTAATTGCATATCGGTACGCTTCTTTCCAGCCTTGCCAATAACCTATGGATTGACACATACTCCTAGCACAATTCCATGCTCATCAACATTCCGGATATCCTCCTGCTCAATTCCATAGTGGGCCTGTACAGTATCAAATTGATTGAAGAACTTTCTCATAAGTCTTGGTTGGGTTTCACACATTCACTTTGAATCAATTGGCTTGCCTAAAAGTGTAGCGATGTTTGGATCTCGTAACAAAAACCATAGCACCCAACTCTTTCCAATTACGATGCTCCTCCCACCAGACTCTATGATCTTTTCTGCTATCCTGTGAACACGGGTATGAGAAGGTACAAAGCCCCACTTTTCTTGGTCTAATATCCATACAACAAGAGCATCTTCCTGGTTAGCTGTTAAGTGTTGCATGAAGGTATAACTTTTATGAGAGGTAGAGGCTCCTGCTCAATGACCTTGAATCATTCTACAGCTAACCTTAAACTCCAGGCAATCTTTTCTCTTACTCATACCATGCTTGATAGCTTCTAGTGCTTGCTCTATCACCGATTTATGGGGATTGGCCATATTGTGTTGTTGAGCTGGTGTGGGTTGAACTGTGTTGGGTTGTGACTTCGAGTTGATTTATGTGCCTGGCCAGAATCTGGAGGTGGTCGGAATCCCGGGTGCCTCGCTTACCACAAATGGCATGTTAGGTAAATGCAGAATAAGAATTGAGCCCCTGACGCTACCAGTCGTTAAGACCCCCTTGACAATGGACACCGTAAACAGATACTAGCTGGCTGTCTGTGAGTAAATGAGTCCCTACTTGGTAAAAGAAGTACCCCCCTAGAGTTTTCCATGTGATGTTCACATTTTCACTGAGATATTATATGATTACTAGGGGATTATACTATGTTTTTTATCTGGTCTTTGGGTTTGTTTCTTACATTTTATTCACTCACACTATTTCAGATATATGCAGGTTTTATGGAATTTCCTTGGCAGTTCTTCAGGGTCAAACACATTTACACTTATGTTTTTCCTACTTATGTTATGGTCAAACACCTCAATTCTTATGTTTTCCCTTATATTTCTTCTTAGTTATGCAAAAGATGTGCACCTGTATAAATAGGGATTACTACTTATCTCACTTAAGAGAATTAAGGACCAAAACTACAACCAATCTACCTTCATACCAAAACTCCTCTTCACTTAACGTGCCTGTGGTATACCCTTTCTACTGCGTCGTATTTTCGTACAAAGTTATTAAGATAGTGCTGTACCGTACACATTTGAACATGTGCAATTGTAATCAACTTTCAAAAGAGACTGATGGTGGTCACTTAGTATACTCTATAGAGATTCGGCCGCTTGGGGAGTATGTAGATGAGTGTCAACAGAATCGCTACCTATTCTTGTCAGTGCCACTATGTGCAGGGAGGTATGATAGGACTAAAAATAACTTAACAGATGATATGAATGAAGGATACGAAATAGGGCGACATGAACCAAGTCTAATTTATTGAAAATCACCGGTACTCCACTAGTACTTGATAGCCTAGACCACATCTATTTATTATTCGTATGCCAGAAGCTTCCGGAGGCAGTCATGCATTGATATCCTATTTGTAAGGCTTATGAGTATTTGATTTGTATGGGGAACGGAATGTTCTGGAGGTTTTTTGGTATCCCTGTACAATATAAGATGTTTAGCCGGAGAGGGGTTTTGGACCATGTGGTTGGAAGAAGGAATGAGGTTGGTTGATTGAGGAGGGGTAAAGGGAAGTTAAGAGAAGCGCAGAGAAGGAGCAAGCGGTGGGGCTTGGAAGGTTATCTGCGATATAAAGAGGAGAAGGATTGCATGAAAGGAAGAGGAGTGTGGCAGATAGCAGCAACGACAAGTGGAATTCGGTGGGGGCGGGAAATCGAAGCATCTCTCACATAAGACCCAGAAAGCGAACAATTCCGTAAAATTTACAACATAATTAGGTTGGAAAGGTCAGAAATGGGAAAAAGAATACGGAAGGAGATGGGAGGAGATAAACAACATATGGACAGTGGAATCCGGGGGGAATGTCATTATCTAGGTTTGTTTACATATGAACTGGCAAAGGTGTTGTCTATACCGATTCCTGACCCAGGACTGACACATAGAATGAGACTATAACCGGAAAGGAAGAAGGAGGGATTTATATGGAGAGGAGCTTTTGATGAGCAGAAGGGGAAAGAATTACACACATGTGGACAACAATCCGGAGAGGAGTTTAGTCCCGGTCTGTTGACGCGCCTGCAAAGACATCCTTCCGCTCTAAAAGATTCTTTAATACTAGATCACGCTAGTACTCAGCTGCCGCTAAGGCTAGTGCTCTGCCACATGGTCTACCTGTCTAGCCAGGAGTGACATCCTCTCCTACTAAGCAGCATATTGCTGCTCCTTCATACCACTCAGTGCTCAGCACTCATTGAGGGTGGTGTGTGGCCATATTTGGCCTTTCACTGATCGGGGCTGTCATCTCATAGTTCCAAAATCATCCTGACGACCTCCTCACATCCTCTTTTAGCAGCTCCCGTGAGAGCTGTAATCTTAATGCCATAGGTTATATTGAGATACCTTTCCATGCTGTTAAATATAGCTACGACACTCTGTGATTCTGAGAAGTTCTGCTCCTCTGATGTCCTGTAAACCTCGTAGGGCCCTCTTCTCTGCCAAAACCTGGGGCGGTGTATCTCTCTTGATTGTCGTGTACTGCAACATCAATTGAGTAGATATATGCTCAGTACCCCTATTGAGAAGCCGCAGTACAGGTATTTTAATTCCCTGCTATCACTCTTCCCCTTAGTAACAAGACCCGTGTTCTAGGAATGGTGTCGGTGGTCTGCCAAGCGGAGGATCGGGGACATATCCCCTATTATATGTCTAAAATTGAGTCATGTTTAGCAAATCTCTGTAATTGCTGGATGCGAGCCCGGTGATGGAGTCGGGTCCCCGGAGAGATGATTTGATAAAGTAAAACGCACGAGTCCGATGATGGGCGAAGACGGCTCGACCGTGACTAGAACCAGAGGGGATGTTGAGGGTGTCCGTATCAGAAGACATGCCCAAAAGCTTTCTCTGGCTTGGTGTGCTTGCAACCACAGGTCATTTGCGATGGGGTTTTTGTTTGTGGCGACAGTGGAGGAGGAATTGCCAGTATTTTCGTTCGGGCTTTTTTGGGGTCTCAGGGGTAGGAGGAAAAATGAGACATTTGCTTGGGGTCTAGTCGGTTGTTTCATTGTGCAATATTTTGTATGGTCTGCTGCAATGAAGCCGAAATAAATGAAACGCAGTAAAGGAAGAAGGGGTGAAAGTGCAATCGTAATAGGATAGCAGCAGAGCTGCGCAGGGTAATATGATGAATCGGGCGATCGACAAAGATGATAGCTCATGCCAGACAGCGAGGTACATAGATATTTCTGAATAGCTAACAACCTGGGGAACTAAAAGAACCTCCACGTACCTTAGGAAAGCACCACTCTGACAAACAATGATTCTTTGGTTTTTACTGAGTCAGCTGTTACCGGAGTTTTGCAGGGCAGACTTGGCCAGAATTTTGGTGTTTGCGGGGAACCTCTAGTCAACGAGTCACCGTGGGGCAACTATTTTCTAATGGTTATGGGTGTGATTATTTGTGTCAAAGAGCCGCATGGGGGAGGGGACTATACTGCATAGCAACCGTTTTTTTCTTTCATGACAGAAATGCAGAATGACAGGGCTATTTAATACCTGGGGAACAATGGGAGTACTAAGTACAAGTTTCTAGGGGCATCTACAGTTTCTCATAGCTAGGTTCTTGGCAATTCGCGCTTAGCGTGGATAACTTTACAACTGGTACAGATTCCTAAAGAGCCGAATTATTATAGGGCTATGCTGCTCCACCCGGTAGGTGACCACCTCCCACACGCCCAAATTCAATGCCGCCCGCTCTCAGCCTTCTCCCTCAGCAGTTTCTTCATTCTCTGGCTATTCCCCTTCTCTACGAACTCCGCAAACGACATCTCACCCTCTGCTTCCTGCTTATATACATCCACACCCTCAACCTGAAGTAATTCCTTGACAACCTTAAATAAGGACAACTTGGCCGCAAGGAGAAGCGGCGTGTGTCCTGCTCCCGAAATTCCATTAATATCCACTCTTCCGTCTTTGACCAACGCTCTTATAATGCCTACTCGGGCGTGTCGTATCGCTAGGCCAAGGGGAGTCCAACTATCTGCTGCTGGGATATCTGGGTTTGTAATTCCTGGGAAGCAGAGGAGTTGCATGAAGATGTCTAGATCTCCGATCTCGGCAGCTGTATGGAGTGGGGTATTGCCGCTCCGGCACGGAGTGAGGGCGTCGATAGATGGGCGAGTGAGTAGCAGGCGAAGGATATCTCTGCGGGAGTTTGCGGCCGACAAATGGACAGGTGTGAGTCCGGCAGGATCGCGGGCATTGATGTCGACTCTTTCATCTGCTATTAATTCTTGCACAGCAGATATATTGCCGTGGTAACAAGCTATACCTAGGGGTGTCCCTTGTAGCGTCATGTCCCTGTCTCGGAATTGAAAATTTGGATTAATGTCTTTTCGGCCAAGCAGCGCTTTGACAATCTCCGTGTATCCTTTCCGCGCCGCTATCCAGAGAGGATTTCTACCCCAAATGTCCTTTGTGTTAACATCCACTTGACTGCTCTCCAAGAGCGCTCTTACAGCGCCGAGATTTCCCTCTTCAGTTGCTATTATGAGCGGTGTTCTAAGCTCCATGTCCTTTGTATTAACATCGACCTGCTCACTCTCAAGGAGCGCTCTAATTGCATCCACTTTCCCGGATTCGGCAGTTAGGGAAAGGGGTGTTCTGTGCCGCCTATCCTTTTTGTTAACATCCACTCGTTTCTTCTCGGGGAGCACTCCCCCGGTGGAGTGGAGGAGGGCACCATTCGGTACTGGTGGTAGTGACATGTTTTCCTTTTTTTGCCCTTGTGGCCTGTTCGGGGCGGGGGGCAGATGGGGAAACGTAGGTAGGGAGCTGCAGTCAGGGGGTTCGGAGAGGTCCAATCAAGAAGAAAGAACGGAGAGAGAAAGGAGATTAATTAGGGTTGCTGTTGTCTTGATCGTTCACAGTTCCGTACTGGCGTAGCACTCCTGTAGATAAGAACGGAATATAGGCTGGGAAGTGGCCTTATATGCTTTTCTGACCCCCAAAGATCCCTGAGAACAGTCGCCGCAAGAACCCTATCTAAAAACAAACCCAAACCTAGTCAAATCCAGGACACATGGGTCGGGGTTTGCTCTACAAGAGCCATGATAAGCATATGGTGGCGGACGCCAAAAACGTATGATAGATCAATGGAGATTCAAAATGTAATGCCTGATATAAGCTGGGTATAGGTTGTTTAATTACAAATTTGAAAATCTTAGGTTATGTGTCTAACTCTAATTACTATTTATTTTTCAAGGTATAAGTTGATTCTTCTTCACAAGTTCTCATAATTGAAAGTTAGTAGGTGAAAGGATTCAATTTATCCTTGGCTATCGAGGATTGAGGTAAAATCGCCTACACGGCAATTGGAGCTGTATATTCTATGTATGATTTTCTCATACTCAAGAGGGGCACAAGGGTTTTCGGGCCAATATTCTATCTTGTATCATTTAGCCCAAGGTTCAATATATTTTTTTCTTGCACCTTTTGCAGCCTCTCTTATCCTTGCACTTCTTTCTTTGATTTTCAGAGTACACGGACTGATATGGTGCCTGCCATCCAAAACGTGCACCAGATTTTCAAGGAGTTTCAAATTAAATAGGCTCCACAACCAGTAGCTTTACATGAGAAAAAAACCTTAGGATTAAAGAGGAAGTGAAGGAAAATAGATGTGAGGTTTTTTTTCTCCCATAATACTACTAATTGTGAAGCCTATTTAATTTGAAAACTTCAACTTTAGGTGAGAGGAGGAGGAATATGTTACATGAGCCACAGCCTATAAGCTTAGTAATGGGGTATTAGTGGCTTAGCAGGTAAGGTTTATCTTATTAGGAGGAAGGGTATTATACTAAACACCATATAAAAGACCTAGAACCTACTTGTCACCTGTATAACCCCAATATTACTTATATTATCAACTGTAATTAAATATATATTTTCTGTATCATAATAGGTTCCAATAAATTATAATAAAAACTATGATAATTATAATTATATTATAATTTTAAACCCTTAACCTTAAATACCCAAACCTACAGATCTTTGTATTCCAATCAGCACAGCCACATGTAACAGAAATTTTTGGTCTGGTGTACGTTTTGGATGGCAGGCACCATACTACCACGTACATGAGGTCCATTTGAACTTATATGACTAGGTTCTGTAGGGTTGAGCCCTGTAACATGTGGGGATTATATCTAGAGGACATTTGATAATGATAGACCGAGGCTATGAATGTGGAAAATAGGGTTGAGAATTGATATTGGAATAAGATTTGAGCTCAAGGTTATTGTTTACTAGTAACTGTATCGTTTTACATTCACATCATAATATTAATATGATAGAAGAAAATTGATTTCAATAAAGAAAAACCCTAACAACAATGGGACTTGAACGTGTGATCTCAGGACTTGAAATTTTTACTTAAATACCCTATATCATGCTTCCATCAGGCATTACATTTTGAATCTCCATTGGTCTACGTTTGTGGCTTCGGCTGCTATATTTTAGTAGCCTAGTATGTCCAAAGCAATGGTTAATAAAACATTTCGATCTAGAGGGACTCCCTTATTCCATTCGGATTGCGAAAAGGTCTAAGGTTGGTAGATGGCAAAGTTAGGGAAATAGTAGCGTTGCGAATGATGGTGGTCTAGATGTCACGATATTTCACAACATATTCAGTTCCCTTTTCTTCCTTCATGCACGGCGAACACATAGTTCCCTCCTCTACGAACTATTAGCGCGATAGCAGCTGCTATCGAAATATGGTATAAGTTTTTGCTTTGAAACTGGACTGGTTTGAGTATGAAGAAATATGATGTTGTGGAGGATACGATCATCGGAGGCATGATATGTATATTGGATAGGTTCCTAGATTCTACACTCTAGTCTAATTTAGATCCCCATAGTGCCCCGGTGTTGCATTAAAACTCGAAATGGGGTACCTACTGTTGGAAATATCTGGTGCTGGGTGTCATACTTCCGCTACTATAGCTCGAAACACGGGTCAGTCACGAAGAGTCCTATTCTGTTCCATGGCGGCGAACTCACAAACTACGAGTGATGGGAGGGGGCTGTAACTACTAAAGTGGTTGTGAAAAGTTTTTCCCGCATAGTCTGATTGGAAAGAAAATGAGCATTGTACTCGGAGTATCCAGGCCTTCTAGTATCGTCTCTATAACCCCTATATCTGGTTCATGTTTGCTTTCCTTCCATCATCACAATTGTTCATATTATTGGAAGTGGCACCTTTTCTACCTCTCTCATTACGGTATCATTCCAAAAAGAACTAACACACTCTTTTTAACCACCCTCCCCGTATCGTGAAACTATCTGTGAAGCTGCCATCCGATACTGTATTGATTTCGTGTGAAACCTACACACTAGTTGAATACCTAGTTTTTAAAGGATTACGGCTGCAGAGGCTAGTACAAGGAGGCCCTAGTTCCGCTACTGTAGCGAAGCTAGTCTAGAATTGACTCTCGCCACGGCCCAAATCTAACAACGAACATGCTGCAGCGGCAAATATTTGAGAGAAAAACTCACCTAACACCTTAAGACTAACCTTTCTTTAGTTCTGTCAACCTAGAGTTTGATTAGGCCAGCCTAGGCGGGAAGAGGCATCTTGTGGGGGGTTTTTTTTTGGAAAAAATGTAGTCAAGCATACAAAGGTTTATGCCAAGACACTTCATTTTATCGGCATTACTCAGGGGAAACAAAGAGAGCGGGTGGGTCGGTTTTTGCTGCCCCGCACTGTATCCCGTCTAGAAACTGTCGGTTGATGTTGGGGTATCAGAATCAGATTATGGTATTTAACTCGACCTCGGCATATTGGACCAGCGAATAGATTAGGAGAGGCACAAAAGACTTCACCCCGGTGCTCTACCACTCCAAGGAGGGAAAATGAATAAAACAAGCTAAGAAGCGATACCCAAACGAGGGGATGTCTCCTTCTTTACATATGTTCTTCCCTCACCCAGTGTTGTAGCTAGTATTAAATACTAAATAAATATCATACTGCATAAGAGTAATCATACCTCCAACACCAACCCCATGAACCCGATAACCATGAGAGGCATCCAAACACCCAGTCCAAACGACTAAACTCATGTGAACCGAGACTGTTGAAAATCACCCGCGATCACCCCGTATGCAACCAAGTTTCCTTTGTTTCTTTCCTATTGTGTTAGCCTTTAGTTACTAGCCTTCCTTTGTCAGTCATTACCAATTACGGTGGAAGAGCGAGTATACCTGGCTTGTATTTTTTACATGAGGGGTCACAGACATGGCCGGGAATTCTCTGAGAGCATAGCGGGCGCGGAGGGCGGATCGGAAGATAGATTCTGGAGACAAGCGGGATTGTCTCTGGAAGGATTTGTGGGAGAAGGATCACATCGTATCATAGTTCCCCACGTTGTCTATATGGACCCTTCCGGCCACCATAGATAGAAAGAGTAAGCAAGCTCCGAATCCGCAGAACATACAACAGTTTCCTCCTTGACGTCACTTTCTTTCCCTCTAGCACACCGCGATCTCTCGCAATCGGCACCTCATAACAACAGAGACCCCCCGCACTTAGTG